TTTTATTTATACAGGGAAATCTTCTGTGCTCTGTACATAAAAGTAAATCAGTTGCCTGGAGGAAATTCGCAGAATTGAGAGGATAGATAAAGCAATAACAGTGGTTTTTATCCCCCAGTGCAATTGTCTATATGTGGTTTAAATAATACAGAATGATATATAGGCTTCCTCTTTTTTTAATATCAGGAAACGTCAGTTGGAAAAAAAACTCCAGAACTCTGTTCTGTCAGTCATTTTTGTCTGAAATCGAATCTGATTTCGTTCTCGGTCATATTGTGGCAGTATGAAGGTCATTACTACTGACCTAACAGTCTTCAGGACTGTTATTGAAAGCTCAGCATTCCAGTGCTGTATAGATGGGACTTTCTGTCCTACAGTCTGGGGTTCCCATATTACACTGTTGATTACACCTAAAGGCAGTTCTGCAGGATAATTAAAAAGCTCAGCTGTTGGCATCAATCCGTACTAAACCAGTGAAGACTTGTAGTATTGATTTCCGAGTACATGTTTTGTATGATGATGATGATGATGCCTTTTTTTTGTCTCAAATGCCTTTAAGTGGTATTATGGGCACAACTAACTAGAAGTATTTTTCTGCACTTCTGTGTAGTTTCCAATAAATACAGAGCTGTAGGTTTTACCGAGTGCGCTGCGGTATTCTGTCCTTTTTAATAACAATGTGAGGTAACCTCAACAGATAACAAAGCTTTTTTTTCCCCCACAGGATGTGGTCAAGTATTGTTGGCCAGGTTCTGTCCTGTGGTCCCCTGGACGATATCTGAACCCAAATTTCAGCCTGAACACCTGTTAAAGTAATGTTCTGGCATGGCACACCCTCCTTTCACTTAACACCAAAATGTCCATTTTTAATGAGAATCCTGAGCCCGTCCTGATGCTCATAGTTATGTAATCTGGAGAGCAAAATTGCTATAAGAATGAACTGCAAGCTTCACTGATCTCATTATTTCTCTTTTTTCGTCTTGAGGCACGACTGCTTAAGTCAGCTCGCACGGGCACAGTGCTGAATGCAGTTCAGTTGCTACCAGATAAAATGTCAATTTTCTGTTGTTTTTTTTTTCCAATCTGGTAAAAACAATGTTTACGCCCCAACCTTTTTGCATTGTGGGACTCCCTGGCGAGTCTGGTTTCAAAATCAGTTGAGTTGGTTATTTGGGGGGGAGGGATCACGGACACTCTGGTTATGGGCGGGTAACGAGAGGGGAGAGGAAACCACAGCACCCAGTGACGACCCCCACGCACACAGGAACGAAAGGGCAAAGTCCACGCTGACAGGTGCCAAAGGTCAGAATGAATCCTAGGACCCTGGAGTTGTGGGGCGGCACTGCTAACCAGGAGACAGACCCCTGTGCCCATTAGGTGTAAACATAAACACTAGCAATAGGAAATCCACATGAAGGTCCTGTTGAAATGCCAACAGCGACCTTTGCTCTTATTTATTTTTTTGGACCATGCATTTGGCAGGCAAACCCCCAGGATGCAGTACATTTTATACCCAGGTTGATGTTACACTCTTTTGCACCGCTGTAGTAAACAGATAACCTACTGGGTGTCTCGTTGTAAATGTCTCATTGCAGGTGGCATGCCAGTGACATCAGGCTCTCCGGTTTGCATGTGCGCTTGCCGGCTCTCAGTTTCCCGCACCACATTTCTATTCTGGATTCCCTGTTAAGAAAGTTGTTGTCCAGGGGTATGTAAGCGAAGAAGCCCTGGGCGGTTATATTTGGCAGTGGGTGCTAGTAGTTTCTATCGCTGTGTCCATTGGTGTTCTTTGTTTTCAGTCCCTTGACTGATGCTTCTGCATTATTTCAACTGGAGCTGTTTGCATCTTAACCCAGCTATCAGAAAAGTAAAATAATCTAGAAACGCGAAGTCCTCTGTAACATCTGGACTTGCCTTTTTTTAGCTGAAATCCTGGGGTCTTCTCTCCTGTTTGAGGTCATTGCAGATCCTGTGCAGTTTGTGTTCATTTAGTGTACAATATTGCAATTCCTGAATACCAGAATTGCTTTTAGGCAGCATGGTGAGATGGCAGACATAAATAATAACTATAAGGTAAATATGTCATTGTCTCCATAATAAGCTAATATATTCAAATGTCAAAACATTTACAGGAATCTGACCAACTTAAAGGAAGCTTAAAAAAAACCTAATAGGGTTACAATACAAAAACAGGAAGCTTTACCATACACCTTAATTATTTTTTTTTTCAGACTGCAAGAATTTCTCCTTTCATCTTCTGTTCTTCAGTGTGGCTTCCTTATGAACCGGTTCAGGCATATATTTCGAGTTTTGCAATCTGACTTTTTTTCCCCATCGCTTTTGTCCCCTCCATTATAGCCAGATTACGAATTTAGATCGTGTAATCAAGCGTGTCATGTGCTTGGATGTACAGAAGCAGAAAGCCACTGACACAAAGTAAATCTCCTGCAGATATGAATAAGATGTTATAGTATGGCGGTAAAAGAGCCAGATAGGGTTTCTCCAGGATGACAGAATGTCAGACGCAGAAGAAAACATGAGGAGGAACATTGATAAAGTCTGTGCCCTGTGGCTGGCCTCAGACATAGTTCCCATTCATACTCATCCATGAAGTAAGTCTCTGGAGCAATTGTGTGGAGCTTTATGTAAAGCCCACAGAGAACCGAGACCTTGCAAATCTGCCAGCGAAAAGCAGTTTTAATGTCTATTAGGCTATGCAGCAAGAAATTTCGGAAATCTCTAGGATAGGAAATGGTTCACACTTTCATTGCTGTGCAGTGACTAGTAAAGAAACCCAGCGTGTTTCTTAAGCGTGTAGACTTAACGTTGGGGTTTCCCCCCCTGTGCAGTGAAGAAATGTTCTCGTTCAGGTCTTTGATCTGGGGATTGTGACCTTAGGGTATATTTGGAATATTCCAAAAGATATTTAGAAAGTAGGAAGCCCTGTACTAGTGGCTCTGCACCTTGAAGTCTGGAATCCCTGAGGTTTTCCAGGTCCCTTCAAATTGGCGAAATCTTTTGGCTGTGGAGAAGAGTTGTATTGGTCCAGTTCAATCTAGACTGGAAGCGTTTAACACTTGTCCTATGTGAAGAACTGGTTTTAACTTAAGGAGACCTAGAAAACCTGCTGGATTCCCAACTGAGCCTCCAAACCTCATATTAAAGCAAGTCTCTTTTGTATTTATCTTATTTTTAGTAGCACAAGACATTTACCAGGATTCCTTTTTTAATGCTTTTTTTCCCCCACTTACTAGAAGTGTTCAATTGCACATAATTTTCCTCCAGGTGACTTTAAAACGCACCTTAAAAGACTGAGGAATTTATCTAAAAACCCAATTGAACTTAATCGCGACAGAAGAACGTGAAAATGCACCTTTGCTCCCAGTGATGCAACTGAACAATAGTACAGCAGCAAAGCGTGAAAGCACTTTTCTGAGTTTCAGAAGCTGTCAGGAGAATATCATTGGGCACCAGATGGATTCAGAATTAAATGGAGCTGTGAGATTCCACACTTAAGCAAATTGATGCCTTGTGAGTGATTAGTGACACAAGTTAACCTTATGCATGTTTGTTTTCATTCAAGAACTTTTAGCTTAGCAGTGTCTGACCAGTTAAGCATTGCACTGACATGAAAGCTGGCAGAGTCCTTTTTTGTCACAATATTCAATGAGATTTTTTTTTAAATAAGCAAAATAAAATTGCAGGGCCCTCCCTTACACAGGAGAGTAAGGATGAGGAAACAGTGGGGGGCTTGAATTCAGGTTTAAACTGAACTAGGCTTTAGGGTCTTTCTTGGTGTTGAGAGTGCCCTTTCTCTTACAGGAATGGCATCCAGTTGTTCTTCTTAAAAACATTTCCATTCTTCATTCCCTGTTGTCTCCTGGTACACCTGGTTACCTTGTGCTTCTTTACAGTAAGGGTAGTGATGAGCACGCATACTGCATGTGCTGAAATGAGGGAAAGTGTAAGACAATTAAGGGAAAGCACGAGTAGGGATCTGTGTTCAAAATGCATCCAGGTTTCATAGAGAGTTGTGCTGTACAGCCAGGAGGTTGCTGTCTCCAGATTTTTCTGGCTTTTGCAAACATATGTTTTTTTTGCAGGTAATACACCTTTTCCTTTATGCTAAGTACTGGAGTTCTTGGACAGTTCTACAAAAACAAATATTTTTAGAGCAAAAGTCGATAGCTGTGTATTTAGCGCTTATTTTGCTTCCATTAATTTTCAGAATTATGCAGCTCTAAGACTAATAGCGGTTATATATTTTGTGTTGCTCACTTTTCACCGAGTGAGGCACTAATTACGACTGGGAGTCAGGACCTTGTTGTAACTATTTCCTTTCATGCAGTGAAACAGTGTCTACCACAGGAAGGAGCTGTGTTTTTCTAAATAAGGAAAGCTGGCCTATATGTTGTAAGTTCACTGAGAAGCACATAGCAGTTCTCAGAGGATTGTCTGGTTGCCAGGAGCAGAAACACTGTGTTCTGAACTTCTACTTCTGAGAAACTGGGGAGAGTTTTTCCAGTCCTGCCCGCCAGAGCTGAAGACTGCCAGATTCTGTGACTATTAATGTGTCAGTGAACTTTAACAATCTCCAGAAACAGCCTCTACTGAAAGTTATCGGTGCTTCTGCCATTTTATATAATAAATCCCAGTTCCTGTAAATCTGAAGATTATCAGTGCTGCTGGAGTTTAACTTTGATGGATCAGTCTTGTTCTTATTTGAAAAAAAAAATTGCTGCTGTGATTTAATCTGCGTACCTGCTGTTCTTGAGTGGGTAGAATGCTATTCTGATCAACTATAGTGTTGATATGAAATAGATGAAGTTTTTATAGACCAGCACATCGGCCTCCCAGATTATGATATAGGGTGTGATTCCGGGTGGGGAAAAAAGCGTTTCTTCTATTTTCAGTCGTTAGTTGCCTGCCCCCCGCCTACGAGATGAAGACGGAACGGAGTTTTCTGCGGGGGTCCTGAAAATAAATCCCCTCTCTTGCAGCTGTCTACCTAGTTGCCAAACAGACAGCGTTATGCCAACCCACTGACGCAAGAGCAGAGAGCAGCTGAGAAGATGCCTGTGCAGGCAGCACAGTGGACCGAGTTCCTGTCCTGCCCCATCTGTTACAATGAGTTTGATGAGAGTGTGCACCGGCCCATCAGCCTGGGGTGTTCCCACACCGTCTGCAAGACCTGCCTCAACAAACTGCACCGCAAGGCCTGCCCCTTCGACCAGACTGCGATCAACACCGACATCGACGTCCTGCCCGTCAACTTCGCTCTGCTGCAGCTCGTGGGCGCCCAGGTGAGCTTTTGCGCAAGTCCTAGGTCTGTCCCCTGCTGAAAAGAGAGGAAAGGAAACACAACGTTTCGGCTGTGGAGCCTTCTTCTGGTGTGGAGGCGTGGAAGAAGGCTCCACAGCCGAAACGTTGTGATTTCTCTCTTCTCTTTTCAGAATTGGATAAATCTATCACTTGTTCCTTTGCAGCCTACGCATGCTGACGCAGCCACCCACCTGAACTGCTTGTCCTAGCTTTTGGCTGGGACAGGAGCCCCCTTGGCAATCATGCCTCAGGATAGCAGTAATGTAACAGCTGTGGTTCACTCTGCACTGTTCGCCTGTGGCAATACAAGAAACACATCAGGTTCTGGTCTATGAGTTTATATGGCACATAGTTCAGACATTTCATGGCAGCTCTGTCTCCCATTGGCTTGATTCTTGTAAAGATTGAATACAAATTCCTGGTAAAAAATACAAATATTTCGGTTGGAGATGACAAGCTCAAACCCAACTTCAGCCAAACGATTCTCATATTTTGGTCCTGACGTGTAACACCCCAGAACTGTAAAACCCGTTATCCAAATCTTGAACGGTGTTGAGTCTGCAAAATAGCACTTCACATGCTAGAAGGTGCCAGTCTTAAAGAAAGAAGGTCATTTTCAAATAAAAACGTCATGACGGCGATTTCATAAATCTTCGAAGCACTTCGAATTTTGTGGTCCTTTGACATTTTTTGAACGGTCCGTGAGGAAAATACAGGTCGAATGTTCCAGAGACTATACAAAATTGAACCTTCATAAAGTCTGGGTTTTTATTTCAGGAGCCAGGAGAAAAACCCTGGCTTGTTTTTTTTCCCCGATTTCTAATCTCGGTTTCTTGGTTGACAGAATAGTGATTTTTTTTTCTCCCCCCCAATTAGGTACCAGACCATCAGACAGTAAGCTTGAGCAATGTGGCAGAAAGCAAACATTATGAAGTTGCCAAAAAGTGTGTGGAGGAACTGGCTCTCTACTTAAAACCTATCAGTGGTGGAAAAGGTAGGTGAT